TACAAATTTGCATAATCGAAAATCCCAGCGCAAAATTTGATATGGGAAAACTACCAAGCCCTCATAACCTTACATGAAATAGTGTTAAAAGATTTCTTATAAATGATGCCACAAAGGCAACCTAGGTTAACTAATAAAATCTCAAATTCCATAGAAGATATGAAGACCAAGATAGTGTGGCCTTTTGTGTGGTCGCAGTCTCCTTTCGTTGTTTAGAAGTTGTTTGACCTTGTTTTCGCAGCTTGGTCGTCAGTCATGTTTTATAATAAACTTTGAAGAAAACAAGCTATACAGCATCCCCTGTTTTTTTTATGTGCAATCCCAGCCTCGAACAGGTTGGCATAATCAATGATAGACGCCATACTTAGTACTGAGCTACGACTTGCCAAAAATGGTGCTTCTTACTGAATATGTATAGGCTTCAGGGCCTGCGAAACGTCCTAGAATGTATCCAGCCAAAAGGTAGGAATTTGGATGAAATGATTACAACTATGACAAAGGATAAAATATTAGGCAAACAATTCAAAGTTTACTCAAGAATATGACCCAACTGTGATATTTAGGTCAGACCAATATAATTCTAAAACTGTTCTATTAAAAATGTTTAGTATACAAAATATTATCTGCTTCTGTTATGAATATTATTATCGTCAATGATAGCCGTACTAATATCCATATATATTTTAGTGAGCATTTTTGGAATCATAGAGGTAATCCTTATAGTAAGAAATCATTTCGATGGCCACAAATTTACACAGTGGACCTTACATTTAGAAGATGGCTTGGGTGACATATCAGCTGAGCATTGGTTAAAAAAAACTAGAGTATTATTCGAAGTTTCGATTTAAAAAAGATACAAAAATACGATGACTAAATCCATAGCAGATGTTAGGGATAAAACGATCATAGTGTACGAATCCCCATTCGTTCAATATGCACATTTTTGCCAAAAAATAAAGAGAAATAGTCAAAAAAAATAAGTTAGACAGATATAAACTCTTAAAAATAAACAATGACCGTGAGGAAAGCGTGCAACAAAACCTGTGAGTATTCTAAGATAAAGCTTGCTTGTTGGAAGGTTATTAAAACGCGTTGTTACCTCAGACAAACGCTGATTTGATTGTCGAAGGTTTTCCTGGACCAGGTCTATTTCATTTTCAGTTGCTTCACGAAGGCGAGTAAGGTTATGCAGGATCAAATGACTCTCATTCGCGCCTGTTGTGAATAGCGGAGAAATGATTGTAGAGGGTATGCATCCGTTCTGAGACCTACTGTCAAAGGAAGATGAAAACAGAGCCGAATCTACTGATGGCTGGCTGCAAAAAAGTGATTTAATGAAAGCATAAGAAGATATTAAGAAGAAAGACATTTTGAAAGCATGAATTTTGAAAAGCAGAATAAATGAAGGAGTATGTTTCTGAACAGTGAAAATGACGATTTTAGACATCGAGGCACGATAGCGAAATCCCGATTCATCAAATGATAAATAATAGAAAATAGTGTGTAAAAAAAAAGTATTTTGGGTGAAAGAGATGTATTATCGCGATAAGTAGATTGTGAATCACATCCTTACATCTTGCTACGTTGTCTTTATAAGTAAATAGTTTAGTGCAACCTACCAATGAAACTTGATCGTAGAGAAGGTTGCATTCGTAGTTTAAAGCTTGATAGATTTGAGAGGCATGATCCTGAAAATCTTACTGGTATACCACAATGCCAGTCTAAGCTTAAACTAAGGGGAATCACTGGTGGTAAAAATAGTTATAACACATTGAACAGAGAACTGAATAGATGAAACTTATACCGCTAATTTTTGAAATAAGAATGTTCGAGCTGGACTTACCGAGTAGTATGTCCGATATGGCCAAGTATACTGGGTAGAGTCCCGCCATGAAGCAAATTATGTGCGGGCTGGGCTAAGCCGTTCTTCAAGCTCTGTGGATCTTCTAGCTGAGTGACCTCATTGGCCTGTCTATGCGCCTCTTCAGACTCTTCTACCTCACCCTCCTGGCCAATCACTTCAGGTCGGCGTGTATGTCGCCCAACCTCCGCAAGTTCGTCACTCAGCCGAGCTATCTCACGTTGTGCTTCGCCTAACCGAGAAACAAGCTGAGTCGTAGATGTCATCGTTGCCATCGTCTCTTCAGCATCGGATACCACTTGTGTTGGTTTAGAAGAACAGTTTGTGAAGATAGGCGTAACCGTACGGATGATTGGACTTTGCGTCCTTGGCATTAAAAGATGAGAATGGTCGGCTTCAGACTCACGCAACTCCTAGACCGGAGATTTGTTAAAAATTAGATTTTTTATATTTTGACTAATTTGGGTTACATGGAATTAATAGCCTGACCCGTACAGTTGGTGTTGTATGGGACTTTGGATTATGAAAAAAAAATATACATATATATACGAGCATGAGGCTATAAATAAGGATTTCAGTGTTAATTCAATTTTGTTTTCGCAACTTGACAGGAGCGGAAGTGAGAAATTTTGGAACGTACCTAGTCCCGTGTCCTCTGTCGTTCGTACGTTCCACAAGGTCTACCTGGCTCTCCGACCAAGTTGCGAAAACAAAGTCGAACCAACAATATAAAGTTAAAGGAGACTGAGACTAAACACAAGGCCACATCATCTTGGCCTTCATATCTACGATTTAACCACGAGTGCTGGCTCTGGTTGTATCCCCCTTTTTGGACAGTCTCCCAATTGCCCCGTAGGATCCGACTACTATCTCCCTGGTTCAAATATTTCACTCGTTCCCTGTCACCCCATCTGTGCTACTCGAGGCGTTATGTCTTACACTCTGCCTCTGAGAGACTAAATTGAGGCTAAAGCCCGTGAGTAATTCTCATTGGTAAAACAGGCCTACTGTCAGCCAACTAGCGCTAGTCGCCGCCACGTCTATCCGGTTTCTATTCCTAATACCAAATATATGACTTACTATGCACCAATCTATTGTGACAACACACAAATTTTGTAGCACTGCTTGCCTTGACTTGGTTCAATGCTGAACCACAACATTTGTGGGTTGGCAAACAAGAAACTAAAGCATACGAAGTCACAGATTTGGAATAACGGATAAAAACAGGATAGGCGACGCACAAACTTATATTGATGGTTGAAAAGCAAAACTTATTTGGCTCTCGGTGAAGTAATTTTGTAAAGCCATTCAACTTGCAATTTCAAAAGAAATGAAGGTTGCGCCAGCAATAATCTAGTAAAG